CCGAAGTGGTACCACCCCTTCTCCCCCCTACCCCCAGCCTTAATTATAAAAAAATGTTTGAACATATTTACTGTTGGAAACCCAACCCCCCGAACTCTGCAGTATACAAGAAAACCTATTACTACCCTAATGGCATTGGGAGTTAGCTGGGTTATTCCTATACTATAATCTAATAATAACCCAACCAGTAATTCTGGAATGGAAAACCTAAGCCCTGCAATCAAATAGTGCAGGTATATGGGCATCCAATGATCTCGGGGTGCTGAGCATGCCCTCTCATTCACCCCGGCAGGCCTAATTAGGACATGGTGGGGAAGGTTACAGTTCCCCACTAACCCCCTAAGACTATTTCTACTCCCCAATTCGCTTACATATCCCCTCACCTCGGACACTATCTCTAAGTTCGGGTCATAGCACCCGTCTACGCCATCCCCAAATTCCAACACGTTTGAGGGGATATCCTCTTCTTCCTCCTCTACTACTACTTCTTCTCTCCTCTCCTCCACCATCCTCTCCAAACTTGTTGGAGATGGACTGGTCTCCGAATCCATGCCACCATACTCCAGGGGCACTACCTCATTTCCCACTACACTCATAGCCTCGTCTGAAGACATCTCACTTTCTGCATACAGGGGGAGGAGGAACGAAGTCAGAATCCTTAACAATTCGAGTACACTCAATACATTCTCACTCTCAACCCTAATTTCCCTCCAAAAAACCAAAATCAACCACAGAAAGGGAGAAAGGAGAACAGCACTCCAACAAAACCGAAGTAAAAAATTCATAAACTTTACCTAATTTTGGTACTGGAAACTGTTGTTGAAGCCTGGATTGAAGCGCAAACCGCACGAAACCGCAGAAATTTAGTAGCAATTCAACAGGAAATTTGAAACAAAATAAACGAAAGTAAAAAAAAAAAAAAATCCCCTTTACAGAAGTGGAGCCTTTTATACTAAAGGCAAAGGACGCCTCAACGGCTGTGATTAACTCAATCTAACGGCTGCAGGGATACCGTTTCAAATTCGACAGGTAACCATTAAACGACACCGTTCCAAACTTGACGGTTCGCTTTTCAAACCCGCCCGTTGGATTGTTACAGTTATCTTTTTACAGCGGCATTAATTACGCACGTCATTCAGAGGACA